TTTCCACGTGCAGAAGCATGAAGCAAGACCCCTACCTTTCACCTTACACAAAAATTCACTCAACATGGATTAAAGACCTAAATCTATGACCCAACACCATCAAATTATTAGAGAACATTGGAGAAACCCTGCAAGATATAGGCACAGGCAAAGACTTCTTGGAAAAGACCCTGGAAGCACAGGCAGTCAAAGCCAAAATTAACATTTGGGATTGCATCAAATTGAGAAGTTTCTGTACTGCAAAAGAAACAGTCAGGAGAGTGAAGAGGCAACCGACAGAATGGGAAAAAATATTTGTAAACTATGCAACCGATAAAGGATTAATAACCAGAATCTACAAAGAGATCAAAAAACTCCACGACAACAAAACAAACAACCCACTTAAGAGATGGGCCAAGCACCTCAATAGACATTTTGCAAAAGAGGAAATCCAAATGGCCAACAGACACATGAAAAAATGTTCAGGATCACTAGCAATCAGGGAAATGCAAATCACAACCACAATGAGGTTTCACCTCACCTCGGTTAGAATGGCTCGCATACAGAAATCTACCAACAACAGATGCTGGTGAGGATGTGGGGAAAATGGGACAGTAACCCAGTGTTGGAGGGAATGCAAACTGGTAAAGACACTATGGAAGTCAGTCTGGAGATTCCTCAGAAACCTGAATATAACCCTACCATTCAACCCAGCCATCCCACTCCTTGGAATTTACCCAAAGGAAATTAACTTGGCAAACAAAAAAGCAGTCTGCACCTTAATGTTTATTGCAGCTCAGTTCACAATAGCTAAGACTTGGAATCAACCCAAATGCCCATCAACAGTAGACTGGATAAAGAAATTATGGGACATGTACTCTATAGAATACTATATAGCAGTAAAAAACAATGAAATTTGGTCATTTGCAACAAAATGGAGGTATCTGGAAAACATCATGCTGAGTGAAATAAGGCAGTCCCAGAGGGAAAATATTGTATGTTCTGCCTGATCCATGACAACTAACCGAGCACCAAAAAGGAAAACTGGTGAAGTGAAATGGACACTATGAGAAACAGTGACTTGATCAGCCCTTGTCCTGTCTGTTGATGTACAATTTAATACTTTATCCCTTTTAGTATTTTTTTTTAGTTCTACTTAATACTATTGGTTGAACTCTGTAATTAACACACAATTATTCTTAGGTGTTTAAATGTAACTGAAAAGTGATCTCTGTTAAATATAAGAGTGGCAATAAGAGAGGGAGGAGATGTACAATTTGGGACATGCTCAAGCTGACTTGCCCCAAATGGTGGAGTTAGAAATGTGCCAGGGCATTCCAACAGGATCCCATCAAGGTTGCATATACCAGTGCCATCTCACTAGTCCAAGTGATCAATTTCAGTTCACAATTGATCACACTGATAGGTCTAAGAGTCAAAGGGATCACATAAACAAGACTAGTGTCTGCTAATACTAACTGATAGAATAAAAAAGGAAGCGAATGATCCAACATGGGAAGCGGGATACACAGCAGACTCATAGAATGGCAAATGTCCTAAACAGCACTCTGGCCTCAGAATCAGCCCTTAAGGCATTCAGATCTGGCTGAAGAACCCATGAGAGTATTTTAGGCATAGAAAGACAAGACACTCTGGCAAAACAAACAAACAAACAAAAAACAAAAACAAAAACAAAACCTAAATGAAAGATCTCTGAGAGTGAGATCCCAGTAGAAAGAACCCCATCAAAGAAGGAGGTACCTTTCTCTGAAGGGAGGAGAGAACTTCCACTTTGACTATGGCCCTGTCGAAATAAGATCAAAGTCGGTGAGCTCAGGGGGCTTCCATAGCCTTGGCAACTCATGACTAGAGCCTGGGGAGATTGATAACGCCTTAAACAAGAGTGTCAATTTATTAAGTCAACAACAGGAGTCATTGTGCACTTACTCCTCATGTAGGATCTCTGTCCTTAATGTGTAGTTCAGTGTGAATTAGTACTATGACTAGTGCTGAAACAGTATTTTACACTTTGTGTTCTGTGTGGGTGTAAACTGATGAAATCTTTACTTGATATATACTAAATTGATCTACTGTATATAAAGATAATTGAAAATGAATCTTGATGTGAATGGAATGAGAGAGGAGCGGGAGATGGGAGAGGTGCGGGTGGGAGGGATCATGGGGGGGGAAGCCATTGTAATCCATTAACTGTACTTTGGAAATTTATATTTACTAAATAAAAGTTAAAAAAATAAAAAAGAAATTATAATGAACCTATTGCAGTGTTTATCACAAAAATATAATTGATAACTGTCATCATACATAACCTGTGTCACAAACAGCAAAACAAAACAAAAAGAAAAATCAACAAAATCAGGGACTTTAACTTATACGTTTAGAATGTGGCAAATATTTTCTGAGAAGAGAATATCTGAAGCTTTCCTGGCCCTGTCTTTATCCCAACTACTCATCTCTGCTTCAAAGCTGCCGTAGGCCACACACACACACACACACACACACACTATTGATGGGGCTTGTTCCAGAAAACTGGAACACTGGAAATAAAACCAAAGAAGCTACCACTCTAACCTCTCTGTGTGATGGCTCTTTCTTTCAACAGCTTTATTGAGATATCATTGACTTATAAATATTGTATGTATTTCAGGTACACAATTGGATGTTTGATACATGAACACTGTGTTCAATGAGAATGACAATCAGTTAATTAGCATACCTATCACCTCTACATAGTTAATGTGTGTGTGTAGTGAGGTGATTTAAGATTTATCTTCTAGCAAATTTCAAACATACAATACAGTCTTGCTAATGATCATAATCATGATGTATATTAGATTTCCAGAATTTATTCATCTTGCAAAAAGATTACTTTGTATCCTTTGTATCATTTGGATCTGCTCAGACCTCCTGAATGCAGTGAGAGGAAGCAGGACAAGGAGGAGGCAGGTGCTCTTTGATGATTCTTTTCAGGAAATGAAGATCAGAACTCCCTGTCTTGATGACCTAAAGCCTCAGTTTGTTGGGTTTAGAAGGCAGCATGGTCATCCAAGGCTGCATGGCATTTCAACTTAGAGTCAATCTTACAAAGCCGGTCGTGAGGAGGTGCTCACTCCCAGGAGTTTACTGCGTGGACCCAGAACTCACTCGGCACAGTGAGAGCCAAGGTTCTCTCTGCTGTCTTAGGAGACTGGAGAAGGATCATTGAAATGCCTTGTGTGGGAGAGACACTGAGAATCACCTAACAGCAGAAACTTCTGTACGATGGCTCTCTCTAGGGTTATTCTTCCAGTTTGCTTCCCTGTACGTCCTTGGAGCCGATAGCTGGGAGAAGGAGAGTGGGATCCAGGAAAGGGGGAAAGTAGAGTTTTGAACTGACAGTTTTTTTTTAAATTAAGATTTGAAAGGCAGAATTAGAGCGACAGAGAGGGATCTTCCATCCTCTGGTTGACTCCCTAAATATCTACATTGGGAGGGCTGGGCCAGACTGGAGGCAGGAGTCTGGAACCTCATCTGGGTCTCCCAGTGGCTGTCAGAGGCTTAAGTACTTGGGCCTCATTCTGATTCTCCCTAGCAAATCAGCAGGGGAGCTGGATCTTAGGTGGAGCACCTAGGACTTGAACCGATGCTCACATGGCAACGTATGCACCACAATGCTAGCACCTGAACTGGAGTTTCTAAGCCCCACTAAGTGAGGCAGAGTTGATAGTGACTGTGGTAAAAATTGTTCTAAGAAAGAGTGACAGATCAGATGCCAAACACTGGTGCTTGCTCATTCAAGACCATGACACAAAGCCCCATGAATTTATAGCACTTGTAGGGTTTCAGGTTTTAAACAGGTAATACCTCAAGTGAGGAAGCATTTTGATTTCTGCAAACCTTTGTGAACATGTGCTTGGACACGTGGAAACGCCAAGAGCTGAGAATGCTCTTTCGTCCACTGACACTCTGATTCTAACTACACAGGATATAGGACTTTGAAAAGTTAAGTGTGAAAAAATTTTCACTTTAATTTTTACTTTCACCCGGTTAAGAATTATTTCCATTTAATCTGCCTTCATAAAAATACTTGGAGGGGCAGACACTGTGGCATAGCAGATAAAGCTGTGGCCTGCAGTGCCACCATCCCACATGGGCACTGATTCGAGTCCTGGCTGCTCCACTTCCAATCTAGCTCTCTGCTATGGCCTCGGAAAGGAGAAGACGTCCCAAGTCCTTGGGCCCCAGCATCTGCAGGTGAGAACCAGAAAAAGCTCCTGGCTACTGGCTTCGGATCAGTGCAGCTCTGGCCATTGCAGCCAAGGGGAGTAAACCAGCGGATAGAAGACTTCTCTCTGCCTCTCTGTAACTCCACCTTTCAAATAAATAAATCAATCTTTTAAAATAATTTTATTTAGTAAATAAAAATTTGGAATGCAGTTTCCAAGAGGAACAATGATTTTGACCTAGAATCCTACTGATATGCACCAGTGGATTATAAATCCAGATGAGCTGAAAATTGGTGTCCAAGTTGTCAATATTTTTTACACGCTTATGAGGAGGTGTTTACATAAATCAGAGATATAACTTGGAAGATACTCAGTTTAACTATTGAAGGGAAAGAAACAATGACATCATAAGCTAAGCCTCAACAATTAGAAAGAAGCAAAGAAGATGCCAGAAATAAGACCTAACACAAACTTAATTTGAAGAAATATAAGCAGTTTCAGCTCACCAATTATAGTATAAATAACCAACAAGATTAAAGTTAGGCAATAATAATGTGCCTGAAAGATACCTATTTTTAAAAGAACAAAATGGAAAATCTGTAAGCTGAGGAAAGAAAGGGTTAAGCTTGGTTGTTTGCTGGTCTCTCACCTCAGAATGCCTGGGTGTGAGTACCCACTCTGGCTACCAACTCCAGCTCTCCGTTAAGATGCACCCTTGGGGGCAGCAGGCAATGGGTTCAAGTACTTTGGTCCCTGAAACACACATGGGAGATCTGGATTGAGCTCCTAGTTACTGACCTCAGCCCAGCCTGGTCCTGGCTGTTGGAAAGTGATCCACTGGAAAGGCTCTCTCTGTCTCTCTCTCCTTCTCAGAAAAATTATGAGAATAAAGAAAAACACAATATTATAAGAAAGAAAGAAAACATAAAATCAGGAATATTTGTTCATTGGTATCCAAGTAGGCACATCCTGCATGGTTACTCTCACTTACCCCAGGAGACTAGGAATCAGTGCACTGTCTCTGGCAGCACAGAATGGCAGACATGAGCAGTTTCCATCAGCTGAGGAGATGATCAGTGAAAGCGAGAGGATGCCTCCAAAGGATAAAATGAACAAGCAGGAAGGAAAAAATGCCAATAGCTCACTGCACTAGACAGTCTTCTGAGGTGGGCTCCAACCATCCCTGCTTCCCAGTTTGCTGGACTGTTCAATTCCCTCCCTCCAGAGGTGGCCAGAGCTGCACCTGGCATCTCACTAACAGAACAGGGCCAAGGGGAAGGCGTGTGCCCCTCTTGCTTTCTGAACTGCAGCCTCCCTCCTGTTTCTGGGCCATGCTCTTACCTCAGGACTTTTGCACTTACTTACCGCTCCAATTCCTGAACTTTTGGTTCTTGATATCTACATGACTACTTATTCCATCAATCTTTTCAGTTGAAATTATGTCCAGCTTTCTTTAAATTTTTATTTCATCTCTGAGATGTCCAGTTGTACCCTTCTCCAACACTCACCCTGCTCTTCTTTTTTTTTTTTTTGGCAGGCAGAGTGGACAGTGAGAGAGAGAGAGACAGAGAGAAAGTTCTTCCTTTTGCCGTTGGTTCACCCTCCAATGGCCACCGCGGCTGGCGCACTGCAGCCAGCGCATCGCGCTGATCTGAAGCCAGGAGCCAGGTGCTTCTACTGGTCTCCCATGCGGGTGCAGGGCCCAAGCACTTGGGCCATCCTCCACTGCACTCCCGGGCCATAGCAGAGAGCTGGCCTGGAAGAGGGACAACCGGGACAGAATCCGGCGCCCCGACCGGGACTAGAACCCAGTGTGCCGGCGCCGCAAGGCAGAGGATTAGCCTATTGAGCCACGGCGCCGGCATCCCTCCTCTTTTCTGTCCTCCTTTTCCCTATGGACTTGGCACCACACTTCATGATATTTTTATGTGTGTTTGCTGTCAGCCTCCCACAATACCCTTGAGTGTCAGAGAGACAGAACTGGTCTTTGTCTTGTTCACTGCTCCATCACCAACACATGTAAGAAAGTGATAATTCACTAGTTAGGGAACAAATGCAAGAGCAAATCGGGGGAGCCACTTAAGTGCTCTTGTGAACAGCTGTGCCAGTTTTCTGGCTCTAACAGGTCCATGGGGCATTGGAGCCTTAATCCATTTACACAGCCTAGATGCTGGGATTCTGTCCAGGGTCAAAGGACATCCTGATAGAAACCGGGGGCTTTCCTCAGAGTCATCTATTGCCAACACAGCGATAGAGACTCCCCACACAGGCAGCCCTCTCCCCTGTATTATCTGAAGGGCCAATGTACAGAGCTGCCGAGTTCTGTTCCACCTGACTGCAGACACTGGGTCCCTGCAAGCCACAGGGAGGGCTGCCACCCTCCTGGCCACAACCAAAGCTGAATGCTTGCTACAGGAAAAACAACAAAACAGGAGACAAAAGCAGATAGATTAAACACAGGGCCCTTTCAGCTTTAATGAATCACCTTAATGGATTTTTGGCTGGTGGGATCTGTAGTTTTATCAATAACTCCAGTGAAATCTCAAGTACATTACTCCTGAATTATGCCAAAACCCAGTGATCAGACACTCACGAAAGATGTACACCACAAAGAAAAAAGGTACTGTCATGGGGAGTACAAGGTGTGCAGTGGCCTAGGCTCACTGTTAAACCATGTCTTGAGACACTGAACGAAGGCCCCAAAATATCATTGGGGTTATCTCACGTGTAAGAAAAGGGACCGGGTCACCCAGACACGGAATCAAGGGCTGAACACAGTCACTCTGAGGACACGATATGGCTCCAGCACAGGTTCTCAATCAGGGTAATTTTGTCCCCCTGCAGATAGTTGGCAATCACTGGAGACATTTCTGGTTGTTGTAACTGGGAGGTGAGATGCTACTGGTGTCTCTTGGGCAGAGCCCAGGGGTGCTGCTCAGTCTCCTGTAATGCACAGCATAGGACCTCCCTTCCTCCTCTCCCCTAACACCAACGGATTGTCAGGCCTGAAATCTCACTAATGCCTAGACTGGGAGACCTTGTCCTCTGGGCACGAGCGTGCAGTGCAGTCATGTCTCTGGCAGGCACCTGACCGCACAGCATGGTCCTAGATTTGAGATATCACTGCTACAGCAAGATCCAAGTCTGAAGCAGAGTATTGTTTAATCAAAGGATCTCAGCATGCTTTATTTTCTCCACAATTCTGGGAGAGGATGATCCGCATTCCTGCTGATCCCCAGATCTAGAAATGACTGTTCAGTTAGAGCACCACTGGCATGCAGAGTGTGATCCTTCACCCCAAGGCAGCTTCCCCCAGGATGTGCAGAATGAACAAGGCTGACTGGGAGGGGAAGAGGTAAGACACCATGACTTGGAAACAGCATAGGATTGAGACAGAGCCAACCTCATACATTATCTACTGATGTCCCTCAACACACACTCTGATGCACTTACCTTTAACTCTTCTAGGGGGAAGCATTAGAGGAAGGCAAATGATTGGGTGCATTTTGACAAGGATGTAATGTCCGAAGCACTAGCTTTAAGCTACCTTACCTTGAAAGATAACCCAGACTGCGATGAAGCAATCCTGCCTCCCTGCCATCAGGCTCCCAGGCTTCCCACCTGAGCAGCCCAGGGCCCTCAGCCCATGATCTCTCCTCATCCCACGATGTTTTGTTGCCCATCAGCTTCTTGGGGAAAAGCTATCTCTGAGGACAGAAATCAGCTCTGAATGCTGCTGCTGACTTACCAGGAAGCCCTGTGTCGAGTCGCTGGCTCGCAGGAGTTCAAGGCTCAGGAATCGTCCTCTGCTGTGGTCCAGGCTCTTCTCCTGGAAGCTACTTGTGCTCAGGCCTGCAAGCAGCTGATATAAGGCAGCTGGGCAGTACTGACACCTGACTCTGTTCTCCTCATGCCCAGTGTGTTGACAAGCAATCATAGAGGATTGTGGAGGTAGTGCTATTCCTGAATCTACTCCTTTTCCAAGAACAAGAAAGTGAAACTGAACTAATATTAGCACCATATTACCAGAAAACCCGTCAGTTTTGAGCAAAGAAAAAGTATCCTGAGATAATAAATGAAGTGCCTGAAATCTATTGCTTGGATAGAGAGGAGAGAGAAGCAACTTAGTCTCAAGGCTGTCATGGCTTTTATGACTCAAGAAACTTCATTTCTTCCCACTCCCTGACTCTGCAAATGCAACACAGAGCCAGGACCTGGGCAAACACCAACTGCAGTGTCACCTTGGACAGTCCCTGTCTGCAGCCACTGTTTCCTGACAGCTGTAGACTGAGCCCCATCAGACCTTGCTGCTATCATTATGGACAGGAAGGAGAACAGGACAAATGAGTGTGAAAGGGTGGGAGGGGGCATGCAGTGAGAAGACAGTGAGAAGGACGGGGAGCTGGTATTCAAGAACCCATAGCTTGCAGGAGCGTGCACTCCTGTGCTGTCACCTGGGCTCCTCAGGAACTCCAGGAGGCACTGGGGCTCATCTGCAGTTGAATGAGGTCATGGAGACAGTCTCCCAACTACGTCATTTGTGTCCATAGAGCAGAGCTTGGTGAAGATGTCTCTGGCAGGCAACCCTCTGGGGATGGAGAGCCAGAGGGAAACGGAGTCCTCGTCCCACTGATTCCACTGATCATCACGGCCTGTGAGGAAGAAAACCAAGTCACTGATAATATTGTCCCCATGACCTGAAGTGCTTCCTCAGGACACTCTGCTGGGCAAATTGGCGGGCAGTGCCAAGAGAGCCTCCAATACAGAGACCAACGTGGTGGTGGTCCCGTTTGCCACTGCATGGCCACAGAAGCCCATGCCCATGGAGGTCATTTGTTTAGGCTCAGGGCTGTGCCTGGCCTCTACTCAGCTGTCTGGAGAAAAGTGAGGGTTCCTGGCTCTTTCGAGAGTGGCAGGAACTCAGCAACCTCTCAGTGACCTCATGGCCGAGATGGCCGAGAGATCTGCTACCCAGGAAGGAAGGATACAAAGCTCAGGGGTGAAGAAGAGACAGTAAACTGACGGGAGGCTCAGCGACAGTGGGTGAACCCCTCCCCCGAGACACACCTCCAGCACCTGTGGAGCTTAGTTTGCATTTAGTTAATGCACCCTGCCAGTCAGCATGTTATATGTTGTATTAGAAGAACCATGAAGCAAGTCTCCCCCACACACTTCACCTGCCTTCCAAAGCTGTAGACGGTGTTTTTCACGATACAAAGGCAAGTCATCTCATTCTAGGAATGTGAGATTCTGGTGAGTCACTTAAAAAGCCCACTGAGGTCAGCGTGTGTCAGCATGTGTACTGGGCGAGATGGAGTACTCCATGTGAACTGTGGGCTGCCTGAAGTCAAACATGTCATTGTTAGGGGTGCCTGTCTGGAAGCCCTCAGTTGGGAACCAGCCCTGGAATTAAGATGACGTGTCTGTGTATGGAGGAAAGATTGCGTGTCCAGCAAGCTGGGAGGAGGTCCTGGCCATGATGAAGTGTTTTTGAGTGTAGCCTGCAAAGTGTCCGCTTCCTGACTGCTTTTTTTTTTTTTTTGACAGACAGAGTTGGACAATGAGAGAGAGACAGAGAGAAAGGTCTATCCTTTTTCCGTTGGTTCACCCCCCAAAGGGCCGCTATGCCCAGTGCGCTGCACCAATCCGATGCAAGGAGCCAGTTGCTTCCTGCTGATATCCCATGTGGGTACAGGGCCCAAGCATTTGAGCCATCCTCCACTGCCTTCCCGGGCCACAGCAGAGAGCTGGACTGGAAGAGGAGCAGCCTGGACAGAATCCAGTGCCCCGACCAGGAGTAGAACCTGGAGTGTCGGCGCCGCAGGCAGAGATTTGCCTAATGAGCCAGGGCGCCTGCCCGTCTTCTCTTTTTGCAGACAAGGGTATGGCCTTTCCCACCTCACCCTGGTTAAGGTCCTGGATGAGAGTCTTTTGTATCATTCCAAGGAACAACAGACATAACGGACACAGTACTATCTCTGCCTGCCACACACAGCCGTATCTCTGTCTGCGTTTTCTACCTGTCTGTGTCATGCTATGGGAGCCTCAAGTCCAAGAGTGCTCACAGATAACACTAATTCCAAAGAAAGCTGCGTGGAAGTCTGCTTGGCAGAGGCACTAACTTACCTTTGCTTGCAGGAGAGACCAAGGGCGGTGGGCCAGTTGGGTAAGTGACCCACCCCGGAGGGCCTCAGTCCACAGCTCAGGAGTAAACAGGCACAATTGGTGTGTGCTCAGAAGAGCTGTGCGTGTTCTGATCCTTTGCAAGCCACAGCTGTGAGAGGCATGCTCTGGCCTCACCTCCTGACCCTACTGAAGGTGTTTCCCCTAGAGGGGAACAGGGTTTGGGCTCCACAAAAGCAGGGTGCAGAACAAGCTGCCAGTTCCAGCCATCTATCCTGCCTTAGACAAGTTGTGATCATGTTGCCATGCCCGATTCCCCCAGTTGTACAGCTGGGAGAAGGCGAGCAGCACGGGTGCAGCTCCCTGCTCACACTGCTGAGGGCACTCACCATGATACCACCGCCTCTATGCTCCGGGCTGCAAGTCACCCTGGGCAAATGGGCTCCCTGGACTTGAAGACAACTCTAAAGCACAAAGACCTGCTGGGAGGACACAGGGCTCAGTAGAAGTGACTGGCCAGGGCACAGCCTCTCTCTGTCTATCTCTGTCTCACCCTGAGTCTGTCTGTTTCTCAGTCTTGCTTTCCACTCTTCCTTAAGAAGCTGGGTAATGGCAAACCCCAGCAGAGGCAGCTCTGTGATGCCAGGATCTACCGAGAGCATAGAGCCCCCTTCCCGAGTGTGCTCCCTGCTGTGTGCCACAGGCTTCTGAGCTCAATGGCAGGGAGTTCTGTGGATCTGTGCTTGGGCGTCTCTGTGGGAGAAATATTTGCGTATTGCCATGGATGTTCAGGCAACGTCAGTAACAGGCTTAGGTGAAAAGTGCAAAAGGGACAATGACCGAGCAGCTGGATGGAGACACAGCCGCCACGCACTGGATGGGGAGCAACCCTTGTCTCTGGTCATCCCCTCTTCCTCCTCTTCCTCCTGCTGAGAGCTAGATGCACAGAGAGTGGCCCTTGTGCTCCTGGGCGGGCCGGCCCGGTGCTGGAGCTGCACAAGGAACGCTGCATCCTGCGTCCCTGAGTGGCCAACCTCTGGAACTGGGCAGTCATCACAGACCGTGAATCAGGAAAGCCCTCAGGCATTCTCACGTACCCACCTCTGCACTGTCCCTCCTCCTCCTCCTTCACACATCCCCAGTGAAACCAAGCCTCATTTTAAGGGTGACTCTCAGACACAAAGGGAAGGAGAGCCCAGGACCTCAGAGCTCTGCCCAGAGACTCCTCTTCCACCAGACAGATGCCCCCCTCCCTGTGCCTGAGTAGTCCTGGTCATGGTCTGGCCATAAGTAGGGCACCAGTTGTCCCTATGTCACACTGCTCAGCAATGTGCTGCCTTCCCATGTGGCCTTGTCCAGCTCTGGCCTCTGCCCTACAGTCTTTGCAGGAGCATCACTCTGATGGGTGGATGCTGCTTCTGCTGTGGCAACTGTTGACTGCTGACACGAAGGGGAGAAGGGCTCATGAAACCGTGAGCTGCCTTGCTCCAGCTGAGTGGGGCCCAGTGACGGCAAGAGACTGGGGATTCTCATCAGAGAGAAACCTGCATGGGATCTAGACATCAAAGGGCAGATTAGAGGTGTCCGTAGTGGTGTCCCACAGCCCCCAAGTTATCCTAAACTGAGGTCTGGCTGTGTGGCCATTTGGGGGGTGGGGTGACCCAGTGGGTGGAGGATCTCTCCCTCTGCCTCTGCCCCTCTGCTACTTTGCCTTTCAAATAAATCCACTGAGTCCTGACACAGAGATGATGTCTCCAATCTGACTGGTGGGGAAGGGAGCTTCACACCTGATTGGTCCCCTCCATTCTGAGTGTATGGAGGAGAAAGGCCCCGTTTGGCTGTGAAAGGGTGTGAGGGCGCTGGAGGTTATAGGGGGTGGGGGGAGGCGGGGGGAGCTATTCATGAACAAGACAAGGACAGCTAAAGCAGACCTGTGTTCTCCTCTTCCCCACACAGCAGCTCTTTCCGGGAACACGAAAGTGAAGGGCTCTAACTGCAGCTCAGGTTCCATGTGGAAATGCAGGGCAGGGCGTGCACGCAGGGCAGGAAGCCAAGCTGGCCGGCCTGGCTCTCAGCCCGGGAGGGTTCCTGTGCACAGATCACTGATGTGCCCAGGTCTGTAGGAAGCACAGCTGTTTGGGGGTGGTGGACAGGATTCTGGGGTCACTGAAGTGCCAGTGAGAGTGCATCTTCCCCTGCCCAATACACCACGCGGGTCATCCCCCGACCCCAGCCCTGCCGGCCTGCGGGCTGCTCAGCCTCCCTCTCCCCCCACTCACCTCCTTTTCCCTGAGGAGCCTGCGGTGAGAGGGAGTGGAGGGCGTAGCTGAATCTGCCCTGGAAACACTGACAGCAGCTTGGGTGCCTTCTCCCCACCTGCCCCACATCGAAGCTCCCCAACGGCTGGCTCGCACAGGACCAGGTTCCTCAGTTCTCTGGCCACGCTCAGGGAACATCCTCCCTCCTGCTCACGCCCAGGTGACAGGAAGTCCTGAGCAACAAGCCTCAGACCCTCCTCAGACTGCATTCTCCACAGACCCTCCCCTGAGGGAGCAGTCCGCAGCAGGGACAAGGGAAGAGTGGCCTCTGGCCTCTTCTTCCTCCATGTCCTCTGCTCTCTGGGACCCTTACAGGGGCGTGGGTGGGAGAGGGTGGTGGCAGGCGAGAGGAGAGGCAGCTGGGGGTGGCAGGAAAAGTCTCATTTATGTAGCACAGCTGCCGTGTGGCCTCACTGGCCTCTGGGGTGGAAAGGCCATTCTGCTGCCCAGGGTCTGGTGTGGGGGGCCCAGGGGCTCCCTCCCACATCCCCTTTGGGACTGGAAAAGCCCCCAGACCAGGGCCTTTTACAGCCTCCTAGGTCCCTGCAAGAGGGGGGCAGCCCCAGTCCTGTTGCACTTACCAGGTCTGGCCCTGGGACCTCTGTCCTGTGCACTGTGGGCCTTGGTGACAGCACAGCCCCACACTAAATTTTTCTTTTCCTTTATTTTCCCTGTTGTTTTCTCCACACTATTTAAAATGCTCCTTGCTGTCCTGTTTCCTAATCAGAGCCTGATCTGTTTCTGACCCGGGCCAGAAGTCAACAGATACAACGCCGATTTCTCCATCTCTTGGCTGCTTGTGTGGTTTTCATCACTGTCTCAGCTCTGCTGACCTCCACAAGCACACAAGCACACGCTGTCATTCTGCGCAGGTCTCACAGCACCTTGCTCTGGGAAGCCCTTCCCTGACTTCACACACCCTGGAGGGCTTTGCCCAGTGTCCCAAGTTTAAGACGGAGGGTAGGAGAATCACTGAGGTTTATCTGCTGTCCAGGGTCACACAGCAAGTCCTGAATGCTTGAGACTAAACCTTGACTTTCTCTATGTTGCTGGCTGTCTTAGAGCTTGGATTGCTACCGTGAGAAACTTCCTCTGGAACTGTGGCACAGCGAGTAAAGCCACTGCCTGCAGTGCTGGAATGCCACAAGGGCACCTGTTCAAGTCCTGGATGCTCACTTCCTATCCAGCTCTCTGCCATAGCTTTAGAAAGCAGTAGACGATGGCCTAAGTGTTTGGGCCCCTGCACCTGATGGGAGATCCAGAAGAAGCTCCTGTTCTTGGCTTCAGATTGTCCCATCTCTGGCTGTCACGGCCATCTAGGGGGTAAACTAGAGGATGAAAGACCTCTCTCTCACTGCCTCTCTGTAACTCTGCCTTCCAAATAAATAAATAAAGAAATCTTAAAAAAATTCCTCTGGGTAACTAAAAACAAGAGAAACTTACTGCTCACAGTTGTGCAGACGGGCAAGTCCAAGATCAACTCCAGGAGATGCAGCATCTGCCCAGGACTGCTCTGCTGCATAGGTGGAGCCTGGATGTGCCCTCACAGGCAGAGGTGCACAGGGCTCCCCAGCCTTCCATGAGGCCTCTTATACCACTCATAGGAACAAGCCTGCATGACTCATTCAGTCTCCAAAGGCTCCACCCCTAAATGTATTGCCCTAGTGATTTGGGTTCACTATACTCAGAGCATGTGGCCCCACCAGGACACATCCACGATGTGATGATGCTGAGCAAACAGCACAGCTGTGGTGCCTGTGGTTTCTGGGTCTGTCATCCAGTACAGACCCAGATGTGGAAAGTGCTGTGGTCAGTGGTCAGGAGCAAGACAGTGGGCTAGGCAGGTATTTGTTGGTGGGGAGGAGGTCACGGGGACTTGAAGCAATGTGCACGGTCTACAGAGTTAGGAGGACAGGACAATTGAGCACCCTGTGCCCAGTACCCACAACAGACCAGGGAGGAACTTGAAAGGGGGTTGTGCTGGGTGTAAATGTTAGACTTGAGCAGAGGCAAGGCAGCCAAGGGGACAACTTTCAATGTGTCTCAACTCACCTGCAGCCCAGGCCTCACTGGGAGTAGAATGTTGACAGTCACACAGGACTCAGTGCCAACACACAAGGACATGGACGTAGGGTGAGGAGGCAGCCAGGGGCCCCTTATCAGGTAGGCCCTGGGGCAGTGCTTCTGCACAGGCAGCAGGAATCCCAAGGGGCCTCTCCTCCCATCTGGGCCAAGGTCAGAGCTGCTCCACTTTCTGGATCTTTAGTATCCTGGCACCTTCAGGCAGGAGAAAGCGAAAGCATTTCTGCTTCTGCTGTTCGGGGAAAAGACTCACTTCCAGGAACAGAAACTGAAAACTGCCCTCACATGATCTCCCTCTCCCAGGGTGGGGGCACGGCTAGGGGAGGACTTTCATATACCGGGAGGGGAGGGTGAGTTCGCCAAGCCTCTTATGCCTCGCAGTCTGCTCTTCCTAGCACAATCCCCATCCCTCGCTTCCATCTTTCCATGTTTACCTGGAATGAAGTTTTGAACCATCTCAGCAGGAACTGCCTCTGTGCGGAAGGGCTGTGACCCCCTCCCCAGGGAGCAGGTGAAGTAGCAGCAGTGCCCTGTGCCCCCAGATCACAGACACTCTGTTCCAGCAACTGGTAAGTGAGAGAGCTCTCAGGATGGAGAACTGGCTGTGAACTGGCTTCTCTGCTACACTGGGAGGTGAAGCCCTGACACCAAGCAAAAGGAAGCTCTGGGGTCTGGCTTGTTTCATGTCATTGATGAATCCAGAGCTGGTCTCTGTGACAATGGTCAGGACATGAGTGCAACCTTCTCAGATACTAAGCCATGAAAGACAGAAAGAGGAAGGGAGGGAAGGGGGTGGGGGAAGCGCAGCTCGGTTACCTAGATGCCCTGGCATTAGGAGTTTTCTCAGAGGGATTAATTTGGACAAAGGCAGGATATGCCACTCATATTCCTCAGATGCTATTTTCAAACCTCTGGATGTTCAACGTGAGATCAGGATCATCAGAGGCAATGGCCGGGTTAGCCTAGACTAGCCCATCAGTTGGTTCACCCTGCTGGGCCACCTTGCCCAGAAATAAAGATCTGGCGGGTAGGGTCCAGAGGTTAGGTGTCCTCCTGCCCTTTCAATTCCTCTAAACTGAAACGTTTGTTTGCAGTAGAGATCCCTGTCCTTACCCCACAGCTCCTTTGCGGATGACTTTAAGGAGCATCTGTGTGCTTGTGTGTTTATGTGTGTGTGTGCACGTGCCCGTATCAGGCACATGTAGATTCTGCAGGCTGAGGGGTTGGGAGGGGCTAAGGCTGCCTCCATGGGGCTCAGCACTGGTGGACAGGTAAGCAGATGGATTGGGAGACGCTGGCTCAGTTCATAGACATGGTCACAGAAAACGTCTGGAAATGTACAGTTATCCTTTGGTATCCATGTAGAAGTGGTTCCACAGCCTCCTACCCTGCACAGAGAGCAAAATCTGCACAAGTCCCTTTTATAATATGGTGTAGTATTCACATGTATTCTGTACACAAGCTACCCTGTACTTAATGTTACTAAATTAAAAATTTAAACTGGCTCATACTTTAAATAACCTCTAAGTTACTTATGATACTTAATATAGTGCAAATCCTAAGTAAATAGTTCTTATAGTGTCTTGTTTAGGGAACAATTATAAGAGTCTGTACTTGTTGAGAGAAGACACAACCATTGTACACACAGAGTGTGAGTGTCACCAAAACTGGACTTGTGTGGATGTGACCCCATGAATGAGTTGTGTGTGCGGGTGAGTAACCACGTGGAGATGTGAGTGAGCATGTAAGTGTGTGCAGCAAGCAGGACAGAGTGTGTTTGTGTGTAGCTTGAATATGTTATGGAGTGTGAACATGTACCTGTGTGAGGGAGTGTGTGCATGTGACAGTGTACTGTGTGTGCCAATGGTGAGTGAGTGTATATGGAGAAGTGAGTGAAAATGATTTGGCATGGGCTGGCGCCGCAGCTCACTAGGCTAATCCTCCGCCTAGTGGCGCCGGCACACCTGGTTCTAGTCCCGGTTGGGGCGCCGGATTCTGTCCTGGTTGCCCCTCTTCCAGGCCAGCTCTCTGCTGTGGCCAGGGAGTGCAGTGGAGGATGGCCCAGGTGCTTGGGCCCTGCACCCCATGGGAGACCAGGAAAAGCACCTGGCTCCTGGCTCCTGCCATCGGATCAGCGCGGTGCGTCGGCCACAGCGCACCGGCCGCGGCGGCCATTGGAGGGTGAACCAACGGCAAAGGAAGACCTTTCTCTCTGTCTCTCTCTCTCACTGTCCACTCTGCCTGTCAAAAAATAAAATAAAAAAAAAAAAAAAAAAAGAAAAGAAAATGATTTGGCATGGGCACATGTGCACACCCAATTGTTTCAGTGTGCACAGGGAGTGCGAGGGGATGTCCAGAGTTATATATTTGTGTATTTGAACTCAGTTTATGAAATGGTCTCCCTGTTTAGAAGAAAAATCCCCTAATTTTTTTCAAAACTTCTTTCACTTATTTGAGCAGCAGAGACACAGAGAAAGAGAGATTTCTCATTATTTGGTTCATTCTCTAAATGCCTGCCACAGCTGGAGCTGGGCCAGACTGAAGCCAGAAGCCCAGGAAGTCAATCCGGGTCTCCCACCGTGGGTGGCAGGGACCCAAGTACATGTGACATCACCTGCTGCCCCCCGGGTGTGCAAGCAGGAAGATGGAATCAAGAGCAGGGCTGGGACTTGGACCCAGGCACTCTGGCATGAAATGCAAGTATCCCAAACACTATCTTAACCATTAGGCAAATCCTCGGCACCTCGTGTTTTTTTAAATCAGTCTGCAAACCTGGATCCATGGGGAAACTGGGAGAGCTAGGTTTTATTATTATTATTTTTTTTGGACAGGCAGAGTTACAGTGAGAGAGAGAGAAGCAGAGAGAAAGGTCTTCCTTCCGTTGGTTCACCCCCCAAAGGGCCGCTACAGCCGGTGCACTGAGCCGATCCGAAGCCAGGAGCCAGGTGCTTCCTCCTGGTATCCCATGTGGGTGCAGCGCCCAAGCACTTGGGCCATGCTTCACTGCCCTCCCAGGCCACAGCAGAGAGCTGGACTGGAAGAGGAGCAACCGGGACAGAACTGGCGCCCCAATCGGGACTAGAACCCGGAGTGCTGGCGCCGCAGGTGGAGGATTAGCCTAGTGAGCCTAGTGAGCCGTGGCACCGACCTTTTTTTTTTTTGACAGGCAAAGTTAGACAGTGAGAGAGAGAGAGAGACAGAGAGAAAGAAGAGCTAGGTTTTGAGGATACAATGATGGTCAATTGTTTAGGCAGTGCCTTGAAGAAGAGCAGGACTCTGGGAAGATTCCCTCCCTCCCTCCTTGTCTTCCTTCCTCCCTCTCTCTCTCCCTTCCTTCCTCTGTACGAAAACCTAATGCAAGCTCATGGAAGGGCAAAAGAAGGCAGCTGCCTTATTGATACTGCAGCGTTTCAGCTTGTGCTCACCTGCCCGGTGAGGAGGTCAAGTGTTAGAAGCAGAGCCAGACCACAATTTCATACAGGCAATGGGAACTGGCTGCTTTGTGTTCTCTGGTGCCACCTACAGGAGAGAAATATATAGGTGACTATTGCCTGAAAGAGCAACTGAAAATTAGGAAGGAGCAGGCTTACTACACTAGGACAGAGTAAAAGCGTAAAAGACCAAAGGAACTCTCTCATGGGACTTTTTGGGAAAGCAGGGTCCTCTGCTCCCCAAGTCTTCTTCCAACCACGGTGCTACTATGGAGGCACAGCCAGCCTCCAGCATTCCACGAGGACCCTGTCCTTCACATCCACATGGAGAAACGTGCACACTGCCTGAGTGAGCACTTGTTGCTGGCTTTGTTTGCAATCCAATGTCTTTGCCATGGTCTTTGTTGGCAGATAAACCCTGAGCTTGGGGATGCTAAGTCAGGTGATCCTACTGCCCTGTTGTGCTCCTCATTCTCACTGGTTCTATTTCTGCAGGTTACACCAATATGGCGGAGTTCTCGCGGTCCCCTCCCACTCTACTGTCTGCATCCTTGACCTCGGTTATGTCACATCAGGACTGGGGTGTTTTATCCAAGGATGAGGCTGTGAAGATTGAGAAAGACTTAGAAGATGGGAACTTGCTGAAGGTGGTCTCTGACATGAGGCGGCCTCTGGAGCTGGTGTCCCAGATGCCAGTCAACATCGCGGTGACAGGAGAATCTGGCAATGGCATATCCACCTTCATCAATGCGCTTCGCGAGATAGGACACGAGGAGGAGGCCTCAGCACCCACAGGGGTGGTCACAACTACCGAAACCCGGGCCGCCTATTCATCCCCCCTGTTTCCAAAGGCTGTGCTGTGGGACCTGCCTGGCACAGGGGTGGCTACTGATACCTTGCAGGAGTATCATGTGGCAATGCAGTTCAGCCAGTACGACCTCTTCATCATCATCGCGTCCCAGCAGTTCAGCATGAATCACGTGATGCTCGCCAAAACCATCGCAGATATGGGAAAGAAGTTCTACATTGTCTGGACCAAGCTGGACCTGGACCTCAGCTCAAGCACCCTCCCAGGGTGTGAGCTACAGCAGACCATCAAAAACCACATCATGAGAAGTCTCCAGAAGCAGCGAGTGTGCGAACCCCCCATATTCCTGGTTTCCAGCCTTAAACCTTCCTCATATAATTTCCCAGGTCTCAGAGACACATTGCAAACGGGCTTGTCCCAAGTCAGATGCGATGGCCCTCTTCAACACCTCATGCATGCCTGCGAGAAGATCATCAGCCACAGAGAAGCCTCCGTGCAGCAGAAAATTACTCTACAACCTCTGCAAGGCTTCCTGGGCTTCTGGTATGCAGATGACTTGGCCGAGTGTCTGGAAGCCTACCGATCAGTGTTTGGTGTAAACGCTGAAGCTCTCAGGGAGTATGAGCAGAGCAAGAGGAGCACACTCACAGACTACAGGAGCGTCATGAGGTCCCAAGATGTGCAGTGTGTCCGCTGGAGGGACTGGAAACTCTGGGCCATGACCTTTGTAGTCACGAAGATGTTCTTCTTCTGTCTTAGCTTGTGCCCAGGCTTACGCACCTGTGTCATTCCATACTTTAGACAGATGAAACATAGACGCTGCCTCAAGATAGTTGCCGAGGAAACAAAGACAGTCCTGGGTAAAATGCTGAGAGACTCTGTCATGCCTTGCAACACTCAGTGTGGGAAAAAGCTTCCAGCAGATCCAGCAGACTCTCTCTCAGGTGGCCCTAAGAACTGAGGGGTGGGGGCGTCCTCTTCTCACCGCCCCTAGCTGATAGATTTAGATGAATATTTTCTTCTGTGTTTCAGTGTTACAAATTCCTTAAGAATCATGATGGGGGCCTGCGCCGTGGCATGGCAGGGAAAGCCACTGTCGGCAGCACTGTCATCCCATTTGGGTGCTGATTTGAGACCCAGCTGCTCCATGTTCAATCCAGCTCCCTAATAATGTACCTGGGAAAGCAGCAGAAGATGTCCCAAGTGCTTGAGCCCCTGCACCCACGTGGGAGGCCTGAGGAAGCTCCTGGTTCTTGGCTTCAGTCTGGCCCAGCCCTTGCCATTGCGGCCATTTGGGGAGTGAACCAGCTGATGGAAGATTCTCTCTCTCTCTCTCTCTTTCTGCCTCTCCCTTGCAGTAACTCTGCCTTTCAAACAAATAAGTAAGTCTTAAAAATGATGCACGATGAAAAAATGATGCATGATGAAAAGCACTCATCTCGCTAGCACAAACCATAATGTGCCATTTCTCCGGGGAGGAATTCTGTTGTTGTGCATGAAAGCATTAAGTCAGGTTCTCAGAACCACAGATTGAAATTGTGCCTTCCACTGCAAAGTGCCCTGCATGTCCAAACCAGTGTCTTTCCCACCCCTGACGTCATTAAAGCTGGCATCATTCCTCTTCATAAACCTTGTCATTCTCGCATTTCTTTGTCTCTCTTACTTACAGGACCTAGTGGGTCACCCCTGGTGCAGAAGGGCTGGTCATAGTTTTAGGGGGCCGATGGACACTGTGGTTGGATCTGCTCTTTGAACCCCAGCTTAGCTTGCTGCTCCAGAGGCCATTGACCTGCACAGCATTCTCCACCAAGTGCCCTCAATGATCAGTGTTTTTTTTTTTTAAGATTTATTATTTATTTTTTCAAAGATTTACTTACTTATTCAAAAGGCAGAGTTACAGAAAGAGAGAAGCAGAGACAGAGAGAAAGGTGTTCCATCTGCTGGTTCACTCCCCAAATGGACACAACAACCAGATTGGGGTAATCTGAAGCCAGGAGCAAGAAATTTCTTCTAGGTCTCCACGAGGGTGCAGGGCCAAGCTCTTGGCCCATCTCCACTGCTCTCCCTGGTGCACCAGCACAGAGCCAGACCAGAAGTGGAGCATCTGGGACTCCAACAAGCACCAACTTGGGATGCCAGTACTGCAGGCTGAGGCTTCGTCCCTCTGTCCCAGCACTTGCCGCACTCATGCTCCTGGGAAAGCAGTGTACTTGGCCCTGCCATCCACATGGGAAACCTGGATGGCATCCCCAGGCTCCCAGTGTCAGCCTTGCCCAGCCTTGGTTGTTGCAGACGTCTGATGACTAGACCAGCTGTTAGAAGATCTCTCTGTCTCTTTCTCTCTCTGTAACTCTGCCTTTCAAATATATGAATAAACCAACCAACCAACCAATCAATCTCTTCTTAAAAAAAGTGAGTATCAGTGATTACTGTCAGGGTCCTGGCAGGAGGCTCAGCACAACCTCAGCCTGGGTTGTTCCAGGATACTTTAACGAGGAGGACATTTTCAAAGCTGTGGGCAGGATGCCCACAAGACAACCTGTTGACCTCCATGGCAAGCCATGGGTGCTGTGGTTGTCTTCAGGCGAGAACAGGCAAGTGGAGAGGCAGGTTACTTGAGTCTGAAGACAGGGTCCAGAGAGAGAGGGCTACCTGATGTATTTGGTTGAAGGCAGATCTAAGAGGGGACAGTGCCCGGCACCTGGGATACACTGTGCAAAAGCTACCAGGTGAGACATAAAATACAGACAGGACAGAGGCCTGAGGAGCAGAGAGAGGGACCCATGCCATTGTTTCAGGTGGGAAATGCTCTGAGGAGAGAGACAGATCAGTGATGTAGTCTGATCTTAGAAATAAAATATCACACACTGAGAAACAGCTGAACTACTTGTCCAAATCCACTGCCAGCAGCATCAGAATCAAGGTGTGATTGCGGCTAAAACTGATATTGGATCACTTATGATGCTGGAGCATACTGAGACAGGCAGACAACGAAGATCTCACACGTGACTCATAGGTCTACCTCTGCTTGGGGAGACACAGATGTGTAGCAAAAGAAGGTCCAGTATTTGTCATGCAAAATGTATCTGAATTAAGCCTGAAATTTAAAACAAAAAGGGCACAGGAGGCACTAAAATCTGTTGCCTGGTCGTTACAGCTGCTTGGAGAGAGGATCTCCTTGGTTATACAGCCATCTCAGTGGAGGACCACAGAGGGCTCTCAGCTGAGCAACGCTATTTCCCTGTGGTTCTCCCAAGAAAAACTATTTGCAAGCATTTTGCCAAATAAGTGACGATGGTTTCTTTTGTGGAATTAGATAGAGTTACAATAAAATCAAGAATGCAAATTTAATGTTAAAAGCAAATATCTCTAATTTTTATTTATGAAATTTGGGAGCTACAAGGTCAATATTGTAACTTTGGGCTCATCAAGAAAAAGTCATGCAGCCGGTGCTGTGGTGTAGCAGGTAAAGCTGCAGCCTGCAGTGCTGGCATACTGTATGGGTGGCAGTTTGAGACCTGGATACTCCATTTCCAATCCAGCTCTCTGCTATGGTCTGGGAAAGCAGTGGAGGATGATCTAAGTCCATGAGCCACAGCACTTGCATGGGAGACCCAGAAGAAGCTCCTGGCTCCTGGGTTTGGATCAGCACAGCTCTGGCCATTTCAGCCATCTGGGGAGTGAACCAGTGGATAGAAGGTTCTCTCTCTCTTTCTCTCTCTCTCTCTGCCTCTCTGCAACTGTGTCTTTCAAATAAACAAATAAATCTTTAAAAAAAGAAAGAAAGGTAGAAAGGTAGAAAGGTAGAAAGGAAGAAAGGAAGAAAGGAAGGAAGGAAGGAAGGAAGGAAGGAAGGAAGGAAGGAAGGAAGAAAGAAAGAAAGAAAGAAAGAAAGAAAGAAAGAAAGAAAGAAAGAAAGAAAGAGTCATGATCACAAAGTAGTCTAATCTCCATCTGAAGGCCCATCTCCTAATAACATCAGCTTGGGCACTAGTATTTTCAACAAATGGATTTGGCTGAGACATTAACATTCAGTCCATTGTAGTGATAGAGGCTTGCATTGTCAAAAGAAGAAAATTATGAAACAAACAGCTAAGCTTCAAGTAATTAGAATTACTTAATTACTAAGCTTCAAGTAATTAGAAAAAAATCTAAGACTAAAGTTAGCAGAAAGAAGGGAAAAACAAAGATTAAACAGAAACAAGCGATGTGGCCTCTTTTCCTGCTGGCAGCATGGAGGGTGTCGAAGAGAAGAAGGTTCCTGCTGTGCCAGAAATCCTCATTAAACTGGAGGAAATTCACAGAGCTGAAGATCAAGCACTGAGAAAGAAGTGTGCCCAAAGAAGCTTCGAAAGGCAAGGAGGAAGCTCACCTAAGAAAAAGCTACGCCTCTCACAAGGTGGAGGTACAAAACTGACATCTGGAGAGTGAGGATGGCGAGAAAAGCCGGCGACTGCTATGCACCTGCAGGACCCAAACTGGCACTTGTCCTCAGGATCAGAAGTCTCAGTGGTGTGAGCCCCGAGTCAGAAAGGTGCTGTAGCTCCTTTGCCTCTGCCAGGTCTCCAGAGGCACCTTTGTTGAGCTCAGTAAAATATCAGTTAACACGCTGAGGACTGTGGACCCATCTACTGCACAGGGTACCTGAATCTGAAGTCAGTAGAGAACTAACTTAGAAGTGTGCTCTGGCAAAATCAGGAAGAAGTGAACTGCCTTGACAGATAGCTCTGGGACTGCCCCTCATCCTGTGAATGCAACATTGTCTGCATGGAGGATCTGACTGGTGAGATCCATACTGCTGGAGAACAACACTGCCAGGAAGCAAATAACTTCCTGTGGTCCTTCAAATTATCTTCTCCACGAGGTAGGATGAGGAAAAGGACCACCCACTTTGTAGAGGGTGGAGATGCTGGCAACAGAGAAGACCAGGTTAACAAGCTTATTAGAAGGATGGACTAAGGTGTCTCCTATAAGATTTTTGTAAACTGCGCCGGCGCCGCGGCTCTCTAGGCTAATCCTCCGCCTAGCGGCGCTGGCACACCGGGTTCTAGTCCCGGTTGGGGCGCCGGATTCTGTCCCGGTTGCCCCTCTTTCAGGCCAGCTCTCTGCTGTGGCCAGGGAGTGCAGTGAAGGATGGCCCAGGTGCTTGGGCCCTGCACCCCATGGGAGACCAGGAAAAGCACCTGGCTCCTGGCTCCTGCCATCGGATCAGCGCGGTGCGCCGGCCGCAGCGCGCCAGCCGCGGCGGCCATTGGAGGGTGAACCAACGGCAAAGGAAGACCTTTCTCTCTGTCTCTCTCTCTCACTGTCCACTCTGCCTGTCAAAAAATAAAATAAAAAAAAAAAAGATTTTTGTAATCCGGTCAGGTAATAAACAGCAACTCCTCTCAAACAGAAATGTGCAGTTGTACTGGTGAAATCTGTTAGCCTGCCTCTGCCTTTCCATCACCATTATGGCAAACCTTTTTGTGTGATAAAATGAAAGCAAATGAACCATGCAAAGCCAGGGTCTAGTCTGTATGCTGTGAAAATCATCTCATGATATGTACGTGTTTTCTCCATGAAAAAAGAAATCGTACTGTTTCACCTTCAACTGCACTATGAGTCAAAGTGGACTGATTCTAAGAAAACCTGTCTCAGAAGCTTCTGTACATAATCTGCAGGGAAGGTAATAAAAGTCCCATTTGCCAAGAAAGAAATGTAGCTGCTGAAATTCCATCTCAGGCTTTGGTTGGTCTGTAAACAATCGCGTACATGTGTTGTTTTCCTTTCCCCTTTCCATTTTTTGTTTCTGACTTGTATATTTTGCCACATTTAGGTGAGCTATAACATACTATGAATGTTATGGTGGGAGAATGAGGTTTGTGCACAAAAACACATGTTATTTTGAAGCATCTTAAAACACTCGCAGGGCAACTACTGAATAAAAACTTGAACTAGGAGGTCTCTTTATTTTATAAATAACATTCCCTTTTTAAAAATCTATCATATACCTTTGCCAGTGACCTAGAAATTCTGAAGTACTTAGGATAACACGAAGTACTCACAATGAAAGCAAAATTTGTGTGGTTCTCCATTAACTGAGCCATGGCTCAAACATATTGGGAAATTAATCCTCCACAAGTCATTAATTAGTTTTTAATATTTGAAAACTGCCAGACAAATATATTTAGGATTTTCTTTACATTTTTATTACTGGTCTTTTAAGCTCTTTCTCTGGATTACTGAGTTTCTATAGGGTCAGTAAGTTCTGGAGAAGAAATCAAGAAGAAACTTGTTTATAAAGTCAAGTTACAAATGTTTATGAATGTATCATGATTTGTCAGAAAACTGTTAACTTAGTCCACTGTTGCGACAACGTAAATATGTGGTACCTGAGTCTCTAAGTGGAAAAAAAAAGAAATAAATGATGTATAGAGACTAGAGAAACAATAGAAAACATCAGGGAAACAGATCTGAGTCTTGGATAAAGTAACAAAATCAACAAGTCTTTATCTAGACTAAAAAAAGAGAGGATGAAAACTCAAATAATGAAATCAGAAGAATGACAAGATTTTACAGCTTATTACAGAAAATAAAGAGAAAAGAAACCACAAGGAACAATAAACACCAACAGATTAGATTACCTGGAAGAAATGATAAATTCCTAGAAATATACAACTCAGGAAGTAGAATCAAGAGTATAGAAAACTGGCTGGCGCCGCGGCTCACTAGGCTAATCCTCCGCCTTGCGGCGCCAGCACACCAGGTTCTAGTCCCAGTCGGGGCACTGGATTCTGTCCCAGTTGCCCCTTTTCCAGGCCAGCTCTCTGCTGTGGCCAGGGAGTGCAGTGGAGGATGGCCCAAGTGCTTGGGCCCTGCACCCCATGGGAGACCAGGAGAAGCACCTGGCTCCTGCCATCGGATCAGCGCGGTGAGCTGGCCACAGCGCGCCAGCCGCAGCGGCCATTGGAGGGTGAACCAACGGCAAAAGGAAGACCTTTCTCTCTGTCTCTCTCTCTCACTGTCCACTCTGCCTGTCAAAAAAAAAAAAAAAAGAATGTAGAAAACCGAACACTGAAGAATGTGTAAGGGGGCTGAATGTGTCATTCCACAATGTGCAAGTATTAGTCTGTTTTCTATAATGAAATACCCAAGGGTTTGGGTATTTATGAATACTTTATGAAGAAGACCGGCTTATTTGGTTCAGTTTTGGAGGTATAAATTCCAAACAGCATGGTTCTGGCCCTTGCGAGGGCCCCTTGGCTGCATCTCATCATGGCAGATGGCATCATGGTAGCAGAATGTGTGTGTGAGAAAGATACATTGTAAGACAAAAAGCCAGGAAACAATTCAGGGATCAGGCTCACATCTGGTGTTTTTGGTTTTTGTTTGTTTGTTTGTTTGTTTTTTGATAGGCAGAGTGGACAGTGAGAGAGAGACAGAGAGAAAGGTCTTCCTTTTGCCGTTGGTTCACCCTCCAATGGCCGCCGCGGCCGGCGCACTGCGCCCATCCGAAGCCGGGAGCCAGGTGCTTCTCCTGGTCTCTCATGTGGGTGCAGAGCCCAAGGACTTGGGCCATCCTCCACTGCACTCCCGGGCCACAGCAGAGAGCTGGACTGGAAGAGGGGCAACCGGGACAGAATCCGGCGCCCTGACCGGGACTAGAACCTGGTGTGCTGGTGCCGCAGGCAGAAGATTAGCCTAGTGAGCCGCGACGCTGCCTCACATCTGGTTTTAAGATTTTTACTTTATTTTTTCAAAAGGCAGATTTACAGGGGCCCATGCTGTTGGTGCAGTGGATAAAGCCACAGCCTGTGGCCCTGGCATCCGATATGGGCACTGGTTGAGGTCCTATTGTGGCCATTTAGGGAGTGAACCAGCAGATGGAACATTTCTCTGTTTCTCTACCCAACCCCCCTTCATAACTCTGACTTTCAAATAAATAAATAAAAATCTTAAAAGATGAAAGAAAGCATACAATCATTCAGCTACAAAAGGCAGAGTTACAGAGACAGATCTTCCTATCGCTTTTTCACTTACCAAATGGCCTCAAAATGGAAAGGGCTGGGCCAGGCTGAAGCCAGGAGCTACAAGTTTCATCTGGGTCTCCCACGTGGATGCAGGGGCCCAAGGACTTGGGCTATCTCCGCTGCTCTTCCAGGCACATTAGCAGGGAGCTGGATTGGAAGTGGAACAGCCACTTTAACTGGTGCCCCCATGGGATGGCATCGCAGGTGGCAGCTTAACCTGTTAAGTCACGATGCTGGCCCCCAGGCTCACACCTTTCTAACAACCCTCTCATAAGAACCAGCTCAGGATCCCATGAAAACTACCTCAATCCTTTCCAAGGACAGTATTCCCCAAGACCTAAGGACCTCCTCTGGGCCCTACATATTAAAGGTTCTACATCTCTCTGAACACTGAGGACCACACTTCCAACACATGAAGCTTTTGGTGACAGACTACATCCAAACATAGCAATATATGTGAATCACAACATCACACTGTACACAATAATTATGTACATTATCATCTGTTTATTCAGAACATAAGAATTTTATAAAATCCTAGAATTAGATGGCTTCATGGGTAATTTCTACCAAATAAAGAAGAATTAATGATATATCCTTCTCAAACTCTTCCAAAATATTGAAAATGGGGTACCTTTCCTAACTCATTTAAGGAGTCCAGCATTACTGATTATACAACCAGAAAAAAAACACTAAAATATATGAAAACTTGTGGCCAACATCCCTTATGAACACATATGCGAACATCTTCTGTAAAATAACAGCAAACCAACTTGAGCACCTCATTAAAAGAATGACACACCATGGTTGGAACATTTAATCCTTGACACCCAAGAACATTTCAATAACTGAAAATTAATTAATGCAATCTATTACACCAACAGAATGCAGGATGAAACTAACTGGACCAAACTGATAAAGCATTTGACATAGTTCAACATACATTCATGTCAAAAACGCTGAATAAAATAGGTCTAAAAGAACCTTATTTCAGCACAACAAAAGTTATTTGTAAAAAGCCCACAGCTATCATTATAACCAATTGGAGAAAGGCTAAAATCTTCCTCTGACATCCTATACAAAGCAAGAGGACCCATTCTTATCACTTCTATTCATTACAGTACTAAAAGAAAAGTCCTAGCCAGAACTATTAGACAAAAAAAAAAAAAAAAAAGGAAGAAAGAGCACCCAATTCAATTAAAAAGGAAGAAATTGCCTCACTTGCAGAGGACATGCTCATTTTAAGATTTATATTCATTATTTGTTTATGCAATAGGCAGAGAGATGGAGACAGAGAGAGAGGGAGCTGCCATCCTCTATTTCACTCTCCAAATGTCACAATGACCAGGGGTTAGTCAGGCTGAAGCTGGGAACTGGGAAACCAGTCCAGACCTCACTGGGTGAAGCCTGGAATCCAACTACTTCCACCATCACTGCTGCCTCCCAGTGTCTTCACTGGCAGGTAGCTGGATTCTGGAGCTCAAGCTGGGGATTGAATGCAGGTACTCTGATGTCTGACACAGGTGTTTTAACTGGCATCAGAACTGCTAAGCTAAATGCCCCATCCCCACGATAGGATCTTACACATGAAAACTCTAAAGACCACATAAAACTGTATTAGAATCCATAAATGAAATAAAAAGATTTAAGATACAAAATTAACATATAAAAAGCAGTAGCTGGAGGCCACTGGCAGAGCAATTAGGCAGAAGAAAGAAATGGAAGGCATATACAGGAAAGGAAGTAGTGAAATTGTTGCTGCTTACTGGTAACATCATGCACAGATCATCCTAAAAACTGCACAAAAACTCTGCTAGAAATAATAAGCAAACACAGCAAAGTTTCAGCATATGAAATCAGCACACAAAACTCAGTGGAATTCTTATGTACTAACAACAAACTATCTGAAAAAGAATCAAGAAAACAATGCCATTCACATTAGGTACAAAAATACTTAGGAATAAATATAACCAAAGCAGTGAAAGCTCTGTGCACTGAAAATGATAAAACCTTGAAAGAAATGGAAGACAGGCTGGCACTGTGGTGTAACTGGTTAAGTTGCCACCTGCAACACTAGTATCTGGAGTTCTGGCTGCTTCACTTCCAATCCAGCTTCCTGCTAATAATTTGGGAAAAGCAGTAGAAAGATGGCCCAAGTGTTTGGGCTCCTGCTTCACGTTTGAGTGGCCCAAATGAAGCTCTTGGCTTCAGCCTGGCCCAGCCCTGGCCACTATAATATCAAAGAACATATTTTAAAATTAATACTTCGGATTCTTGTCTCAAGCTTAAAGAAGCATCCTAAGCTTAGATATAAAAATCCTAAGCTTAGACAGGCAACATGGTAAGGTTTAGAATTTATCTGGGGAAGAGAAAAATTCACAGGAACAAGAGGGATTTATTTGAGGGAGAGGGGATTCAGAAAGGTGAACTGAAAGTTCCATATCAGGCAGAGAGCAGATCAGGGCCCATGTGCAAGAGTTCATAGGTTAGAACTGTGTAGAGAAAACTGTGCGGGCAAGAATGACCTCAAAATACCACAGCTCGCAGGCCCAGGAAGATCCATACCTTTTATTTTGCTTCCAAAAGGAGAGTAGTTATGTTGTCTGATCAACAGGTTGGCCTGTGTAGTGGGGATCAGGTAGGGGTGGGCAGGAGATACGCAGAAGGTGGGGTGGGGTGTGATCTACAGCTCATAAGCCTAATCCTATCTCCTTGATTAATACTATATCAATTGCATCCATTTAGGGAGTGAACCAGTGAATGATTCTCTCTCTCTGTAACTCTGCTTTTCAAGAAATAAAACAAATCTTTAAAAAAATGAAAGTAATGGAATAAGACACAAATAAATGAAAAAATATTTCCTGTTTCTGGACTGAATGAATTAATTATTAAAATACTATCCAAAGAATACTCAATGTAGTCATTCTCCAAATGCCAATGTCATTTTCACAGAAATAGAAAAAACAATTTCAAAATTGATATAAAAGCAACCAAAGCAGTCTTGAGTACAAAGTATATAGCTGAAGGTATCACATTACCTGGTGTCCAACTATATTACCAAGCTAGAGAAATTAAAACAACACAAGACTAGCATAAAAATGGAAACAGTAGCCATTGGAACAGAATGGAGAGGCAAGAAATGAACCTATGCATTTAGGCTCACATGATTATTGGAAAGGGCACTAGGAGGGGCCAGCACTGTGGTGCAGCAGTAAAGTGCTGGCTGTAGCGCCAGCATCCAATTTGGGTGCTGGTTCAAGTCCTGGCTGCTCCGCCTCCAATCCAGCTCCCTGCTAATGGCTTGCAGAAAGCAGTGTAAGATTTTTGGGTTCCTGCTATAAATGTAGGAGACCCAGATGAAGTTCCTGACTTTGGTCTGTCCCAGCACTGGCCTTTATAGCCTCTGGGAAATGAGCCAGCTGATGGAAGATCTCCCTTTCTGTCTCTCTGTAACTCTTTGAAAATAAATAAATCTTAAGAAAAAAAATTTTTTTTTTAAAAAAAAGGTGCTAGGAACACACAATGGGGAAGGATCAATTTCTTCTAAACAAACATTGCAGAAACAGAAGAATGAAATTTATTTATTTATTTGAAAGATGAGAGAGAGAGACCTGTCATCCACTGGGTCACTCCTCAAATGGCTCCAACAGCCAGGGCTAGACCAGGCTGAAAACAGGAGTCAGTCCTTGGTCCATCTTCCACTGCCTTTCCACATACATTAGCAGGGAACTAGATGGGAAGCAGAGTAGCAGGGACTCGAACTGGCACTCTGAAACGAGATGCTGGCATCACAAGCAATGGCAGCGTAACTTGATCAGCCACAATACTGGCCATTGCAAGTTTCTTTCTGGTAGTCTTAGGATCATTGAGTTACAAGAACAATGACTGCAAAAGGGAAAGTGCAGCACCTAGAAAGCATTTGAGAATTCAAATAATTCACGTGTTGGCTTGGATTAGGGAAGTAGCACTAGTGTCAAAAAAGTTGGGTTGCATCTGTTTACTCTGCATGATTATTCATTTTATTCCTTATCACTGTCTATGAGTATGTACTCATTTGTTGCTCCTTTGTAGGTGAAGCCATATAAAGAGTAGGGATGTTCAACGGCATGATCACGAGAGAATATAATTCTGATGGACAGCAACTCATTGCCTAGCTCCCATGGTAATCATCCCAATAGCATGACAGTTCCAAAATACAGCTTTGTAAACCAGAATGTCCTCACTCTCCAGAAGCCCGTCCTATCACATCTGAAAAGGAGGATGAGCGAGTCCCTGAGAGGCGACATCGTTCTCAGCAGTTTTTCTCTGACCCCTACTCAGATCTTCATCACTGCTGTCACTCACCTGAGCATTCAGAGTGAAAGGTGAGGAAGGCTTAGAATAATGCATTTCCTTTTTTCCAGATTTCTCCCTTGCTCCTCCTGAATTGTATCCATCTCTGCAAGGAAATACATTGCTTTTGCTTATTAAATATTTGGTCTATTGAAGCCAGCCTATCCTATAGTCATTGATATGACAATATTATGTATATAGGTGCATGCCCTTACAAAATGGTGCAACTGTTTCTTTGAGGGTTCAAGGATCACCAAAAATAGGTGTCATGGAACTAATGTTACATTTCGTACCCAGGCTAGAGCTTATCACCACAATGCCATAGTCCAAAGTCCTCACCCTACTGCCAAGCCAGTTCTTGTTTTCTCTTCTGCTTCCCATCAACTTATTTTTCTATTTTTTATTTTGGTTCACTTATTTCACATTGTAGAGTTTCCCATTTCTCTACTACTTTTGTTTGTTTGCTATGGTTTGGATATGGGTTGAGTTTGTCTCTCAAGGGTGTGTATGCTGGGAGCTTGATCCTCAGTGTGACAGTGTTAAGAGGTGGGGTCTTGTAGGTCAGAGGTCCTCAGTTCACTGGGAGTGTGCTCTCAGAAGGGAATAAGGGAGTTCTCATGGGGCCACTGAGTTTGTTCTTGTGAGAGGACTGTTACATAGGGAAAGCCTGGCTACCTTTCAGACTCTTTGTGTCCCTGCCTAGAGATGTGATATTTCTCTATCTCTGTCTTCCTCTCTTCCTCTCTCCCTCTATCTCATCATCCCCTGCCATTGTAGTACCTTCCTCATGATGTGAAGCAGTCAGGGGGGTCATCATGGGAACAGGTGCCACGCTGTTTGGACTTTCAGCCTCCAAACCTGAGAGCTAAATGAACCTTTTCTCATTAAAAGTTCTCAGGTATTTAATTATAGTAACAAAAATAGACTAATACAGTGCTGTTGGTATTTTCGAAAGATTAAGCATTCCTAACATGAAAATATCATAACACCCTCTGAAATAAAAAATGTTTTAAACACTGGCATGGTGCTACAAGTGGAAAATTCCATGCCTAATCTCATATGATAGGTCACAGACAAAACATAAGTACACTAAAATGCTGTACAAAACCATTTTGGCCTACGTGTACATGAAAAATAAGTCGAATTTGTCTTTAGGCTTGGGTCCCATCCAAGGCTGGCTCATCATGTATATGCAAATATTCCCAAATCCAAAACCTGAAACCCTCTTGATCCCCAACATTTTGGATAAAGGAAACTCAACTTGTGTCACAATTTCTTTTAAAAATGTTTCGTGGTGTGTGATGTTGCCAAAATGAGAACTGTCAAAGGTTCTAATCAGAAAGGAAATGAATCATGTGGATAACTTTTATAACACACTGTTAAGGATAGCATGTTTGTTTACCCAAAATATTCTAATGGGATATTAGGAGGTGGGGCTTTTGGAAATTAGTAAGGGTTAAATTGGGTGATGAGAATGAGGCCCTTATGATGGAACTGATGCCCTTATAAAATGGAGCAGAAAAGAGAATCTGTGAACCCATGATGTAGGAAGGCTATGTAAGGACAGAGCTAGGAAGAATGCCTTCCCCAAGTAAGTACCTGGCCATGCTGCACCCAGGTCTCCCACTTCCAGTCTCTAAAAGAGTGACAGATACATTTATGTTGTGCGATACATCTAATATATGGTATTATAGCAGCCTGAACTAATAAACCATCACTTACCAATGAGTCATTTCCCCTTCATCTTGTGTCTCTTACAGTCTTTCTATCCCAGGTATTGTTTATTGTATTCCATTTTGAGAAAATAAAGTGTTGGAATAGGGAATGGATAAGGATATTATCACTAAATAAAATAATTCTGACAACAATCAATATGAAGCACTCTAGGGTTTACTGAGAAAGGCCAATTAATTACAACAGCAAATATCTTTTTTCACAAAGCATTTATTAAGCACCTATTGGTATCACAAGTGCATTAAAGGAATTCCTCACCATCTTGACAATAAAAAGCCATGAAATCATAAGAAGTCAGAGATTTCACAGGGTTCCCCTCTCCTATCAGCACAGAATTACAGGTTTTCATTAGTTATTTTCTTGAGAGGAGTCTGACTAAATGGGATTCTTAAGACTTTATCAAAGTTGTAATCTTTTTAAAAGGAGATGATTGTGAATCTCACTTTAAAAAAAGATTTATTTATTTATTTATGTGAAAAGTACAATTATAGACAGAGAGAGACAGAGAGAAAGGTCTTCCATCTGCTGATTCACTTCCTAAATAGCCACAATGGACAGAGCTAGGGCAACCTGAAGCCAGGAGCCAGGAGCTTCTTCTGGGTCTCCCATGTGGGTGCAGGGGCCCAAGCACTTGGACCATCTTCCACTGCTTTCCCAGGTCATAAGCAGAGAGCTGGATCAAAAGAGGAGCAGCCAGGACACAAACTGGGGACCATAAGGGATGCTGGTACCACAGGCAGAGCCTTAGCCTACTATGCCATAGCACAGTCTTCCAAATTTGTGATTTCTATGGTGATACAATTTCTTGCTATTTTGTTGTTGAGCTCTCACTGTTCAGAGTGGCCATAAACTAAAATGGTTGTCTCTCTGACAGCCCTGACTTGGACAGGAGTGGAGGGAGCGTGGGGAGGTAGATTTCCAAATATGTCATCTGAAACACAAGGAGGAGGTGACACCAAAATGCATGAACCAGAAGAAACTGAGTTCTTGCAATATTCAGAGTGGCTGGAGGTATAGAGAGGATGTCAACAGGAAGTACAGAGGTGGTATAGAGCTAAAGCAGTGGGCAGGAGCAAGGGAAAAGAGTGGACCTGTGGGGCCAGGCCTGTGTTAAAGACCTTGGGTGCTGTTCCTCAGGCTTTCTCATGGGACTCAGGGTTGGCTGCTTTAAGAAGATGGTGAGAAGACAGAGCTCACCTGTGTGACTCTGCTGCTGACCAATAGGCTTTATCAAGGTCAGCAGCTGTGAGGGTGTCAGGTTTGGATCAGTGAGATGCAGGAAAGTTAGGCTACATCACAAACAACCACAAAGGAAGGAGAAGTCTTTATAAGGCAGAAGAGGATGGGGTATAACTGGGTTTCAAAGAGCTTCCATCAGAGCTAAATGGTTGTCAAGGTGGCAGCCACATTTAAATTTCTGACAAAGGTAAAATCATCTGATGTGGAAGTAGATGCATGGTATTTAGCTCTGCCCATATTCAAAGATGTTCTGGGCCCTTGGTCCAGGGATGTGCAGTATGTAAGTATCAGTTGAAAGCTGGATGCCCCCAGGAAACTCAGTATATTGTTTATGACATCCACTGTGCTACTTTTCTCCATGAATCTGGATTTCAACATCTAGAAGATTTTAGTCTAATGGTAAGTCAATTGCTTTCTGGAATAAGCCTCTTTCAGGAGAACTTTAGCATCATTGGCCACTATGTCAAGGAAATGAAATTGCAAGTAAATTTGTCTAAAGTAAAGACCCGTAGCAAGAAGACCTCCATCAGCTGAGCTGAGCCCATCCAGAAATTTCAAAAGCTTTTCCCCTATTGTTTCATCCTGTTCAGTGTCCAACAAATAGGGAGATTTAATAATTGCTTTGAGTTCTTCCACATGCCCTCGCAAATCCTTAGCCAAAATCTGAAGAGATTCATCATCCACTCCAAAACAGACTCGATATTGGTGTAGGCTTGCCTGCAGCTTCTCCACATCATTGTCCTTAAAGACAGACGCCATAGGCAAGGTAGCCAAAATTCCATCCTTCACGGCTCCTAGCCAGATATTCTGCTTTAGAGATTCCTTCTTTTTTTCAATGGCTGCCTCAGTAATACTGGGCAGGGAAAGCATGAATTTGTTGCGCTTTTGATTAGGGAGATCTTTCAGTAGGGTGTCCATCAGGATCGAGAAATCAAACTCAGACGAATCTTTGTTGGAGATTAGGAATGTTTGGAGTTCAATATCATTCTTGTAAAATTCCTTCAGAGAATTGTTTCGAATCTCTTCCAGACTTTTTCTCTTTCATAGGTAGTAGGTTTAAATTCGGTGTTCATTTTGTAAATCAAAGTCCACCTTGGTTCTCACAAGGTAGAAGTTCTTCTTCATAGCTCTGATCCCTTTGGCCAGTTCTAGGTCATATTTTGTGAAGAATGAAGCAGAAACAATAATAAATAAATCATACTCACCAAATTTTACTTTGTCTAGATAACCTTTTAGCTGGAAATTAGGAGTTCCAAAGCCAGGCAAGTCCCATATTGTCACACTGGGAAACTTGGGGTGTTTGTATGGCTTTCTCTCCATGGTTGTGTCCTTTGCTCCAACGGGAGCTGCATCTTCTCCTTCATCTCCAATCCCTCTCAGGGTGTTGACTAAACTGGATTTCCCTGATCCTGAATCCCCTGTCACAGCGATGTTGAGTGGGATATCATCAATATTTTTTAATGCATCACTGATCACAGAGTGTGCCCCTGGAAGATCTCCTTTTGCCAAGTGTGACTGAATTGAACGGATGGTCTCCTGAGAGATGATTTTGCTTTCTGTCTTGCAGTTCTTAAGATATGCCTTAAAGCTGGAGTCTAAATCTTGGTTTTGTCTCTCAGAGTATGTAGCTGAGGGAGCTGCACCCATGACTGTGAGCAAAAATAAATAAATAAATAAATAAATAAACAAAAAACACTTACAAGAAAGAAGGTAGGGAAAAGCTGAACAGGTTTACTATGATAGGACATCTTTGTGCTTTTCTCTTAACAAACTGCTGTGTTCTCATAGCTGTCTCCTTTGGTCATGTCCTGACCCTATTTCTTCTAATCCCACTGGAATACTCTAATGCAAATCCAAGACATCATTCCATGCATAAATCCTTTAGTACTTGTCTTGAAATTCTAAGAAGTTTTAATTAATATGTTGCACTATGATTATCACAAAAATATATTCAGAATTATCATCATACCTAATCTGTGTCAAATTTCCCTAAAAGACATTATAGCATTTAGTTTGCTTATTTACATTTTAATGTGACATAATTGGCTTGAATAAAGCTGTCAATAAAGGTCACTTATTGTATTTGATTGATACATTTCTTAAATTGCCTTAATTTGTCATTCTTGCGCCTTTTTCCTGATGCTCAGACTCATGTCCATGAGTTATTTTCTTCTAGGCATATTACAAAGGTTCAGTAATTCAAGGCTTCTTCATTCTTCAAGTCTAGATTTATATTCATTTAGTCAATGTAATAACTCAACATATCTATCTCTCTTGCTTTCTTTGAACTTTCTGTTTTGTAAAAGTAACTTAATCATATAGAATCTTTTATGAAAAGCAGAATTATTAGCGGAGTGCTCCAGAAAAACCCACATATGAAGCTACTACTTCGACATCTGACTATGCCACATTTCTTACAGATCAAGTCATTCAAGCAGTGCAAAGATAATCCTAGATGTTGTTCCATGATCTCAGTCAATGCTAGAAATCATGTATTACCAACTGTGCAAAGAAAAAAACCAAAAATCCACCAAAACATACGGGTCGAGTTAAGATAAGAATTGGAATAATAATTCAATCTTTTAAAGTTGTTGGTGCTTCTCTTAGATTGTGCTAATAATATATCTCTGTGCTGTTTCAAGAGGTAGGCATCCTGGCATGCTAATAATTTGGCATCTTTTAAAAACCAATATTCTTTTTTTTTTAAGTTTTTTTTTTTGAAAGGTAGAGTTTTTTTTTGTTTTGTTTTGTTTTGTTTTGTTTTGGGATAGGTAGACAGAGAGAGAGGTCTTCCTTCCGTTGGTTCACTCCCCAAATAGCCACAACGGCCGGAACTGCACTGATCTGAAGGCAGGATCCAGGAGCTTCTTCCTGGTCTCCCATGTGGGTGGCAGGGGCCCAAGCACTTGGACCATCTTCTACTGCTTACCCAGGCTACAGCAGAGAGTTGGACTGGAAGAGGTGCAACCGGGACTAGAACCGGCACCACAGGCAGAGGATTAACCTAGTGTGCCACAGCACCGGCCCCCTGAAAAACCAATATTCTTTAAATTATTGGAGTACTATTATTTGTAGTATAGGCTTAGTACAGTTTAATAAAATATAAAGTGGACTGCTTGTGTAGGAATTCTGGTGTTTGAATCCCTAGCAATTCCACTCTGGTTCCAGTTGAATGCACTGTGCAGCAAAATTCCTGCCCTGAAGGTAACTGCATTCTTCTTACACTAAATGGAGTTCACTGATTCATCTTTCATCCTTGAACTCTTGGGAGCTTCACATCCTACTCTTTACACAACACTCTCTCAAAAGGATGTCTAGAAAAGGCAATCTTCTCTAAGACGTTAGTAGCCCTGGGAAATTGGTATCCAGAACTTATCCCTGCCTGGCCAATCTGTTAATCTAGTATTAAAAAGAATGTACCAAAGAACATTTAATGTTTACTACAAACTAAAAGAAATCAATCTAGGGGACAGCGCTGTGGCACAGTGGGTTAAGCCACCATCTGCAGTCTGGGCATCCCATGTGGGTGCCAGTCCAAGTCTTAGCTGTTCTACTTTGATCCATCTCCCTGCTAATGTGTTTGGGAAGGTAGCAGAAGATGGCCCAAATCCTTGGGCCCCTGCACTCACGTGGGAGATCCAGAAGAAACTCCTGGCTCCTGGCTTCATCCTGGCTCAGTCCTGGCTGTTGAGGCCATTTGAGGGGCAAACCAGTGAATGGAAGATCTTTTTCTCTTTCTGTTGCTCCCACTCTTTCTGTAATTCTGACTTTTAATTAAATAAATCAATCTTTAAAAAAAAGGAAACCAATCTGGAAGGGCTGCATACAGTGTGATTCTAATCATGTAACATTCTGGGAAGTTCAGTCTACAGAGACAGGAAAAAGGTCAGTTGTTGCCAGGGGTTAAGGTGAAGAGAAGGTGACTAGGTGGTGCACAGAGGAATTTTAGGACAGTGAGGACAGTGAAACACTGTGTGTGATACTACAATGGGGGATTCATGTCATTACACAGTCATCCAAACCCACAGAATGTACAACACCAGGAGTGGGCCCTATTGTAAACTACATACTTTGGGAGATAAAGATGTGTCAATGTTGGTTCGTCCATTGTGAACAACCTACCCCTCTGGTGGGGGATGCTGATAGCAGGAGAGACTCTGTATGTGAATGTGTGTGTGTATCTGTGTAGGTAGGGGTGGTGGTCAAGGAATATATGGAATTCAACTTTCTGTTTGATTTGTCTGTGAACTAATGCTGTTCTTAAAAAATATAGTGTATTTAATGGGGAGAAGGAAAAATTATGCATATTTATGTCACAAGGCAAGGAGGAAGTGAGAAAACAGATATATAAATAAATTACTGTATACACACATAGTATTTGTTAAATAAAACACATACATTTTCTTCTCTATCTTTTCTATGATAGGAATAGTGAGGTGATTATTAGAAAACTATAAAAAATCCATAAAATCAGGGACTCCCATGGATCCTTTCAGGATAGAAGTGGGCAAATATTTTCTGAGAAGAGTCATCTGGTATATATGTGAGGCTTTGGGTTCGGGGCTGTGGCACAGCCAGTTAAAGCCCCAGCCTGCAGCACCAGCATCCTGTATGGGCACTGGTTGAAGTCCCAGCTGCTCCACTCTGATCCATCTCCCTGCTAATGAGCCTAGGAAATTAGTAGAGGATGGCCCAAGTACCTGGGCCCCTCATGGGAGACCTGGAAGAAGCTCCTGGCTCATGGCTTTAGCCTGGCCCATCCCCAGTCATTGTGGCTATTTGGGGAGTGAACCAGTGGATGGAAGATCTCTCTCTTTCTCTGTCTCTACCTCTCTCTGTAACTCAACCTTTCTAATAAATAAAAAAAAAATATATATGTGAGGCTTTCCTGGAAAAGCTGACAAAGATAACACATACATGAACAATGTGGCTTGTTTCCAGAAAACTTTATAGAAAAAAAAGGAAGCGGCTATTCTCTAACTTCATCATGTGTTAATCATTTCTTTCATAGGTTCTATTGAGATATCATTGACATACAGACTGTATATATTTCAGGTATACAATTTGATGTTTTGATATATGAACACATTGTGTAAAGACAATCACAACCAGCCAATTAGCATACTTATCACCTCTACATAGTTAACAATGTGTGTGTGGGTGTGTGTGTGTGTGTGTGTGTGTGTAGGTAATGAGGTGTTTTAGGATTTGCTTTTTAGCAAATTTAGAATATATAACACAGTCTTATTCATGGCAATAATCCTGACAGACACTGAATCTCCAGAATTTATTCATATTGCATAAAGGAAACTTTGTATCCTTTGACCAATATTACCCCATTTCCTTCTCCCCCTAGACTTGGGCAACAGATATCCTAGTCTTACCTTCTACAAGTTTGAGTATTATTGATTAACATAAAAGTAAGTTCATATGGGTCACTTTTATAAAAATGTTTATGTTTCATCTACTTGAAAGATAGAAACAGAGGGGGAAGAGAGAGAGAAATTTCCATTCCACTGATTAATTTTCAAATAGTTGTGACAGCCAGGGATGGGCCAGATCAAAGCCAGGAGCCAAGAACTACATCCAGGTCTCCAGGTGGAAGAAATCCACATACATGGGATATTACCTGCCTGCCAGGGTGCATCAGCAGGAAACTGGATTGAAAGCAGAGGTAGTGGGGCCAGCGCTACATGGTGTACTGGGTAAAGCCACTGCCTTGCCAGCATCCCATATGGGCGCCAGTTCCAGTCCTAGCTGCTCCACTTCTGATCCAGCTCTCTGCTATGGCCTGGGAAAGCAGTAGAAGATGGCCCAAGTCCTTGGGCCCCTGCACCTGCGTGGGAGATCCAGAAGAAGCTCCTGGCTCTGGCCGTTGCGGCCAACTGGAGAGTGAACCAGCAGATGGGAGATCTTTCTCTCTCTCTGCCTCTCCTTCTCTCTCTGTGTAACTCTGACTTTCAAATAAATAAATAAACAAACAAATAAATAAATATTTTTTTAAAAAAGAAAGAAAGCAGAGTAACCCTTAATCCCAGAACTCCAATAAGGATTATGGGTGTCTAAGCAGCAGCTTAACCCACTGTACCTCAATGTCTGCCTTGAAGATCTCTTGGGTAGCAGAACACATTAAGAGTGTAGGGAACAACTTTAGAGGTTTATTCTCCCTTGTCTCTTCCCAGGCCCACCTTGAACTTCCCATCTTATTTCGTGTCCCTGGATGATAACTATACAGATTATATCAGCAGGGGGCCCTCAGCTTCCAGCACTCACAATTCAGCCATGGGAGGCATCAGCAGCTGTGTAGGAAGGAGAAGTGAGATAGGTGAGGGCATGCCTTCCTATCCTCTCCCTGCCTGGGGTGCATTTCTGAAAGGAGCTGAGGCCATCACTTATTACAGGCCCTGCCCCTGGTTGGGCAAACATGGCTGCTGTTACCAGAAGTTCCACTAGCAAGAAAGGAAAACTCAAAATGTGAAGTAATCCATCGAATGTTTTGGACTGGAGGGAGAACACTGGGTTATAGTAGAAATAGTAACATTCTGGAAATACTGGAATCTAGACAGATCCTCAGAACCACCAAGGAGGACATTTATTCTCAAGACAGTGCCCAACGAAGACTGGAAGGTGGGGATGAGGATATAGAACA